CACCAGTGTAGCAACAGGAAACAAGCCTCTGTGCAATCGGGGAACCGAAGTCAGGTGCATACAACACGCCTGGAGCGAGCGGCCGACCAATCGCGGCCGCTCGCCGCGCGACCTAACCTACCGGGGGTTGACACCACGTAAACGATAATGTCGACGTTATCGGAATCCGATCGGAGTCGACCGTGCGGCGGCCGCGATCGTGTCAGATCGGCGTCAGTCGTTGAGTCGCGCCGATCGTAGGCCGGATGGGACGCTAGCAGCCACGCAGCCCCCGATGTTCCCGGCGCGCGATTCTCACCCCCGGCCGGCGTAATCGATAGCCGCCGCGGCAAAACCGCGCTGCGTCGCGACTAATGGGGAACGAAAGGAGCGCCCTGCGCGGCCTCGAGATCGAGGACAAAGCCGTCGAGGTCACGGACTACTGGATGCACTACGATGCGTGCGTGCACGACTCGAGCACGCAGAGGCTGTCCGTCTTCATCAGCGAGCCGTCCCTCCACTTCACGGCGACGTTCGGCAGACCGTCGCCGTTGGAGCGCGCGGCGAAGGTTCATGTCTATCCTCTCGCTTCCTCGCCCCTTGAATCTGCCGCCGGGACGGACGCGTAGAGGCAGTCGAATATATTCCCCCCCCCCCCTGCTTATTTTAACAAACGAGAACGCCTCGAGCTCCGACTCTCTTACGGCCCGAGCAGAATGTCTTGTACTCGGTGTCTCACGTTTCGAATCTTCGTTTTAAATCTGACGACTTGAAGTAGAAGAACGCACAGGATCTTGTGCCCCAAGAGTACAAGACAGTCATTCTGCTCAGGCTCTTTATGCATCAGCTGATTTAGAGATAAACGCTGTTTTGACGAACTGACTGGAAAAGTAGAAGAATCAGTTCGCCAGGATGTTAACACTGTTTACCTCTAAAACATCAGAATGTCTTGTATTCGATGTCTCATGTTTCGAATCTTCGTTTTAAATCTGACTTGACGACTTGAAGTAGAAGAACACACAGGATTTTGTGTGCCCCAAGAGTACAAGACAGTCATTCTGCTCAGGCTCTTTATGCATCAGCTGTTTTAGAGATAAACGCTGTTGACATCATCTTGACGAACTGATTGGAAAAGTAGAAGAATCAGTTTGCCAGGATGTTAACATTGTTTACCTCTAAACTAAAACAGCTGATGCATAAAGGGCCTGAGCGGAATGGCTTGTACTCTTAGGACACAAGACAGTTCTGGTGCGTTACTTTAACACTAAGGCCCGGTCAACAATGAGTCTTTTTGCGAAAAGTGTGACTTTATCTTAATTTGTTTTCCTCCGGTAATGTATTATGGATGGTGGCGCGCGTAGCGAGAGTGAAATTGCGAGAAATAATGCGGTGGGGCGTGGCGTTGTGTGCTTCAGAACTTTATGCTGCATCGGCATCCCTGTATCCTGAAGTACATCTCCTCGTGGAGAAAAGGCGGCAAGTTCTTCCTCGCCACGGAGGAGGCCAGGCCGCTGATCCAGGTCATCGAGAAGCAGAGCATACTGCAGATCTGTATCGGTCTGCACAGCATCCTACGCGCCTTGGTATTCCTGCACGAGACCGCACTGGCGTCGCACAACAATGTGTGCAGCAGTTCCATCTACGTCACCGCCGAGGGGTACTGGAAGCTGGGTGGACTGGAGTGCCTGTGCAAGTTCGCGGACGCGACGCCGACGTATTACCAGCGAATAAAGAGCTACCGATACGAGAAGGCGATATCGCCGAGCGAGGACGTAGCCGATCTAATTAAAGCCGCTAATCTCACTGCGATCGATTCGTACGCGTTTGGAGTGCTGGCGGAAGACGTTCTGAAGACTTTACAAGACACAGGTACACGCGAGTCCGGAGCTACCACTGTGGACGGCTCTTCTCGTTAAAACAGACTTACCCCAGTGAGAAATGATTCGTCGATCGATGTCGAAACGATGTCGAATCAACATCGATACCGTCAAATTGACGTCGATTCGACATCGTTTCGACATCGATCGACGAATCATTTCTCACTGGGACGTTCACGACGCGCGTGTTAAACTTGAACCTTGCTTTCAGATGGAGCACCGAATTTGCTGGAATTCCGCGAGTTTTGTAAGAAGAATCTGCAGAATCCGGACGCGTGTCTGAGAAGCGGGCTGTTGAATGTGCTGCAGCATTCGTTCTTCACCCACGAGTTTATAAGGATACACGCGTTTCTGGAAGAGCTGCCGCTAAAAACCGACGTCGAGCGGGAAGAGTTCTTCACGTGAGTAACTTGGAGAAAGTAGTTGGTGAGGTGCGAGGAGTCGCGTCTAAAACATTCTTTTTTTTCCAGGAAATTGAGACAGCAATTGCAGATGTATCCCGAGGCCGTTGTTGCCGAGCAATTAGGCAGAGTGCTTCTTTCCAGGATAGTTTTGTTGGATAGCACTGCCCAAGTAAAACTTTTACCTTTTATCTTTAAGCCCAAAGGTTAGGCTACATGCGTTTAGCAAGATCTCTTAATCCTAGAACGGTACACGTGGGTCACGTCCGGTTCTACCTTTTCAAAGATTTCTCGACACGTCTCTCCTACAGTTTTGTTAGAATTTCTACATATACAGTCTGACGTATCCAATTCACTGGTTGTCAAACGAAAATTAGAAACTGCAAGCCAGAGTTACAGCACGTTCCGTCAGCTGTACGTGTGTGTGTGTGTCTAGTAAAAGCAAAAGAAATATATGTGTACCGTTCTAAAATTATTTTATACATATCGATAGCCGTGCTTTACGTAACAGGTAGCCTAACGAGACCTCTCGTATCTCTTGCAGATGAGAAAAACGATTTGGGGACTAGTCTATTTACAGTTCCTACTTTTAAGAGTATCTTAGCACCGAGAATTCTGCAAATGTTTTGCATCCGAGACGTCTCTATTCGTTTGCTGCTGCTGTCCCACTTCAATTCGTTCGTTCACGTGTTCGAGGCGGACGAGCTGAAGAACCACATACTTCCCGAGCTGCTCGTCGGGATAAAGGACACCAACGACGATCTCGTCAGCGCCACGCTAAGGGCGCTGGCCGATATAGTACCGATCCTGGGCGCGGCGACGGTTATCGGCGGCAACAGGGGGAAATTGTTTACGGACGGCCGGCCGAATAAGAAGATGGCTCGTAACAAAGACCTCGATGTTATTAGGAAGGCTTTGACGTTCACGCAGGAACCCGTCTTCGTGAATATAGACGAGAGTAACGTGCACCTGGCGGAGAGGCCGTCGCCCGACGGCGGCGAGGATAAGAGGGAGAAGGAATTCTCGTTCGCCGAGGAGGAGTGCACCTGGTCGGACTGGGAGACGCAGGAGTCGGCTGGGAGCGGCCGTTGTCCCGCGGAAGAGGCTCCCCCGGACAACGTGCAGGCGGAGGCGCAGGAGCCGCGCGACGCGGACTCGTCCTCGACTCCGCCCCCGCCTGAATTACCGTCGAGCGCCGAGAAGCCGAGGTACACGAAGAAACTAGTGATCTCCGACATCACCGAGCTCGACATAAAGCATTCGAAGGCGATAAGATCCCCGAGGGAAGAGATAGACTTCTTCACGGATATGGAGCCCGTGATACGGAAGACGCAGGTCCTGCACGTGCCGGAGGTGCACTCGCCGAAAAGCATGTTCGACGTGAAGGCGTCCGGCGCCGCTTTGGAGGAGCACGACGTTAACGGCTGGGGGGAGGACCTGAGCGACTTGAGCATAGACGATGCGTACGAACTGGCGGAACAGTGAGCGCGCGAGAAAGAAAAGAGAGAAGCCGTCTGCACGGAGAGCTGCGACACGAATGATACTCATCCCAATTGTATCCGTTTCCATTACGTCCAGTCAGTACATGTGATCAACATCATGTATACTCTCAAAATAAGTATTTTTAATAAATGTAAAATATACGATTGGCCAAAAGCTGCCGCGGTGTTTATCCCTCGCGTAGGAATCTCGCGCAGGCTAAATCGTGAAGGGATTATTGTCCGGGATACATCGTTTTTGTACAAGCGGACGATTCGCCAAGCGTGGAAACAGTCGTCTTGGAGCCCTTCGTTTAATCAACAGGCACGTATTTTTGAGAGCCTCAGAAAAGGCGTATACAGCGCCGGATCTATACACAAGTTTAGGGCCTCATCATAAAGGGCTTCCTCGACTCGGTATAGAAAAGATATGAAAAATGTATTTTTGTTATTATTGACTGTTTTTTATCAATTATTATTTTTGGTCGTCCGAGCTTACTAGTTGGAGGAACCTAGAGGGGCCGCAAAATCGTAGATCCGGCCTGGATGTACAGGGTGTCCCAATTTAATGTCGCACCCCAAATAACTTTTAAACTCTCTTGAATATCTCAAAAAGTATTGGGCAAATAAAAAAATGTTTTAGACAAAAGTTGTTCATATTAATTGGTAGAATAAGATGGTAAAATAAACAATAGGGGACACCATTTAAAAAATTGAAGGTGACCTTTACGTGACCTTCACGCAACTCGTCAAGGTCGAACTGATGGCACCATCTCATGTCCCCCCGCGAACCAAACAACTTTTGTCCGAAATGTTTCTTTCTGCGATCAAAAATAAAAAGTTATTTGGGGTGGGACATTAAATTGGGACACTGTATAGCTGCATAGTGACATATAGGGAAATGTAGAGATTTTGCGTGCTCAAAGTGTGTGTTTGCAGCTGCTGTCAGGAGTGTCAGGCTCCTTGGGGCGCGCGCGGCCAGAGGCCGATCTCGGGATCGCGATGCGGGATGACAACGACGACGCGGAGCGGGTGCTGGACGCGGAGCAGTGGCGGCTGGAGGCCCAGGCGGTGATCAACGACGTGAAGAAGCACGTGCGGGACCTGAGGGTGTCCGAGCGGCTGACCAGCACGAACCAGGTCATCTACCTGAACCTGATCACGCTGGAGGGCCTGCGGTTCTGCGTGGAGCTGTCGGCCACCGGCTTCGCCGTCGTCGGCAACCGGCACGACGACACGTCGAACGCGGGCAACGAGCGCTTCGAGACGCCGTACAGCCTCCTGAACTTCGTCAGTCCGCAGTACAGGAACTCCTTCGGGAACGCGCTGCTGGACAAGCTGAAGGAGCTGAGCGATGAGCAGTAGAGTTCGCGCGGTGGAAGGCGGCGAGGAAGCTGCGTTCCTGCTTTAGGTCTAGGTTGAGCTTGAGTGCGGTTAATTGAATCGCGTCCGTCACTTCTAGTCAGTATCGTGGAAGGTGCGTCCGGGGAGCGCGCTCTTAGCGCTAAAAGCGTCTTCTATCTTTATTCGACACTATAGTGAGTGGCGAAGGTGGACCAATGCTTTCAGCACTAATAGCGTCTCCCCGAACGTAATCTGGAATGGAACAGTTCACTCTGCAGATTGTGAACTATTTTGGATAATCAGTCGACACAATAGCGGGACTGAAGTCCAAGAATGTTCTCAGGTGCTGCGTCAATGCGTTTGGGTACTCATTTAAGCTCCGTTCGTCATTACGTTTGTAAGCAAGATCCGTATTCTTGACGAATAAATCGCAAAATGGAATGTAATCTTAGGTCTGTCCGGACCAACTTAAGACCCGCGTCCACGATGCTGGAACCTGGTCCGAGTTCTAGTTCCGAGAATTGTGTGTATAGCCAATGTGTATATCAATCAACTTGCAGCTTTTACGGAACACGGAATTACAAGTATCTAATTTTATATCCTTTCTTTGCGCCTCAAGTCGTACTTTGTGTATCCCGTATATACAGAATTGTAGCGACGACCGTCTTACATGTACATTCCGCTCGCTCTCGAATCGTAATACCGCAACGAACGGCTCCGTAATGCGAAACGACGCATGTTAAATAACAGATGGAAAATGCGACTGGAGTCTTTGAAAATACAACACCGATCCCCCCGGTCGATACTTTGATTTGCGTCACTTTTATTCTAGACTGTATTGTAGACTTGTAAAATAATTTCTGGTATTTTAGAATCCCAATCGATTCTCCAATATGTTCCTTTTTACGTATTGAACTTTTAATTATCACGAAACGCGGACGGCTTCTCGTGTCGCATTCAATTGATCCGCGAGTTGTTGCGTTCGAGCGTCATCCTCGTCCAACAGTGCTTGCAGTTCGCTGTCTTCAAACTTTTTTCGGCGGTCTTTCACGTTGTTCGATCCGCCGTGCTGCTCCGAGCGGAATCTATGTATAAAAAGAAAAACGAGCGCCGCGGGACGCTGCTGTCATCTCGGAACAAAAGAGTTCAACAACAGGGTTGCTGCCTTGGCGAGAAAATCAAAGCGAGTCCAGATTAAAATGACCTTGTGCCCGCGCGATCGGTCAAGTCTGGCATCTCGTTGAATAGAGTTTCGAGGTGACGCTGTGAAATTTCAAATTCGACCAATCGTAGCGCGGGGCGATTTCAATCTGGACCATTTTGATTTTCTCGCGCGAAAGGCGGCCGCGGGCGGGCGAATCCCGCGTAAGTAGATCTCGAGGCGCCGGCCCGGGGCGCCCGGTGCCGCGCCTACGTCCCTGCGCCCCGTCGATGCCCACCGTCTCGGCTGCGCGCGGACACAGTGGAGTCCCGTCCGCGAGGTTGACGCTGCGTCGCGCCGTGGGTTGCCACGGCTCTCCCGCGCGGGGCACAGAGCGAGGTACGTGCTTTCATGACGGTGACGGCGCGCGCGAGGAGATTGGCCGGCGTACGATGACATGACACGCCCGCGACTCGTCGCGCAGCGTGTGACAAAGTCCAGTGCAGCTCGGTGCAGCTGCACCCGCCGTCGTCTCGTCCCGTCCCGCCCCGCCCGTCGCGTCACGTCGCGTGCGGGCGCACGCGAGGAAGACGACACGCGAGTCCCCCGACACGGAGGAGCGGAGGACAGGCGGAAGGAAGGAATCGCGGCGAGCCGATGCGCCACGCGCCGCATTCGTGCGCCCGACGTCGCGTAGGACACCGCGAACGGTGAGCGACGCGATATCGCGAGTGTGCGAGAGCGAGCGAGCGAGCGAGCCGCGTCTCGAGGAAGTGCGTCCAGCCCCGAGGAACCGAGATAAGGGCTGCGGTCAAGCTGTCGCTTCGAATGTCCTTTCCTTTCGACGGAGATAGAAGGACGCGAGTTTGCAGCGGCAGCTTGACGGCAGCCTTCGGTCGCGCGTGTAGTTTCCTCCCCGTCCTCCCCCCGCCCGCCCGAGGAGGACGCGCCGCGAGGTTGTTCTCCAGGAACGGCGTGGCGTTTCGCGCGGAACGCGGCGCACTTCACGCCGCGCGCGCCCGTCCGACTTTCTCTCTGTTTATCGCCGCGCGCTACTCCGCGACGACCGGGCGCGGGGCGGAACGAGGAGGAGGATCCTCGGCGAGGGAGTCGGGAATCGTCGTTGCCTCCTGGACGCTCCGGACGTGCCGGACGACGGCCCCGTCGCGCGTATTATTTTCCGCGGTCGAGCCGGTCGCGGCGACGTGTGTGTGTCTGCGCGCGCGCGCGCCTTGCCAAGATTTAATTCCGCTCCGGTCGGCGGAGGCGCCCAGCCAGAGTTATGACACGAATAGCCGCGAGTCGGACGGTTAATCGGGACTAATTAGCGCGTGTGCCACTATCGGCGCGGGCCGCGTCCGTTTCGCTCGCTCGCTCGGGTCGACGGAGAACCGCCTGATCGCCGGACTGGATCGCTCCCCGCCCCCCCCCCTGCGCCGCGCGCGGTGTCGACGAGTTACTTCGCCGTTCGCACGAGTGGAAAGAAACGCGGAGAACCGTTCTTGTATATCGCCTGACTCCAGTGTCCCTTTCTCTTTTTGTTCTTTTAATGCATCGACAGGTCTTCCTGTTTGACGCGAGTCGACCCTCCTGTTTGCAGGAACGGCGCCCCTGAACGCCAGGAAGGGACCCAGGTCGACGTCTCGCCGAGCGCGCGCTGTTAATACGCTCCTGCCCCGTGTGTTTTTCATCGATACTGCCCGCCCCGCATAACAGCGACGAGCGCGCGGAATCACGGCTCCGTCCGTGACGCGCGGAGCGAAGTCCGGGGGCCCTGGACCGCGCCATTTCTCCCGGAGAGCGGGCCCGAGTGCGCGTTGCGCCGCGCCGCCGTCCGCGATAAACTGCTGCGTTGCTGCGCCGTGCTTCACCTTCGCCGTTGCTGCGGGATACGTCGCGCGCGCGCACGTGTGTGTGTGTGTGTGTGCGGCGTTTCGTGAAACTGGTGCCCGGCCATCCAGATGCCGTCTAAGGATCATCGCCGAGACTTTCGCCAGCCACGTGATCGGCAAGTTCGACTCCGTTTCGCGCCGCGACCGAGAGCCCGGAGAGCGGGCTGGCAGAGTCAGCCGGACGTTCTGCAATTCGCCCGCGCCCGGAGCCAAACGCTTACCGCATTTCTCAAACGTGTCCTTCGTGCCCGACGTATTCCTATTTAAAGTCCCTCTAATTGTACGTTTAAAGGTACTCGATGACGGTGGAACGCGAGCGAAATTTCTCGAGCGACTGCTTCCATTTGGATTATCTCCTCGGTAGCATCTCTTAGCTCGAAATCAACGTTGCTTGTTATGTTAATGGCAATGATTCATCAGTTAGTACGATCAGATTAAAGGGATACGACGTGGAGTTGCGAAGAAAATGCTCTCGCACACTTGCTCTCGCATTGCGAGGACAGGCAGCCTCGGCGCGTAGTTTTAATAACGATCCGAGGTTTTATGATAAACGCGCGCTGCATCGCCCGTTAAGTAGGTGCGAACTTTTTAAATGTAATCCGGCTTTCGGGAACTCCGCGCGTGTCTTTTTGGATTTGACAGGATACGATGATATTTTTGCGCGAGTTTATTCGCGTCCTAGCGCGATCAGAATAATTCTTCTCCGAGCGAATTACTTTTTATGCGAAGTATCCTACATTCTAAATATAGACGCAGTCTCCGTGCTCAATGTATATTTAAAGTATAAATTAGATAATGTGTAGCCTCTTAGAGAAAATTGCTGCCCAAGATAGACCCATTGGGGTCCGGCCACGGCGGAGGGTGTTTGTTCCGTAATTTATTATGCCCTGTGTGTTCCTTTTTTATCGTTGCAATGAGAGACACCGCGCGTAATATTAATAACGTTTACAACGCGTAAATGTCAATGGCGGAATAAAATTGCAAATGAACGCATGCCGAGCTTGTGCAATCGAGATCGCGTGTCTCGCCATCGATCATTTATTCCAAGGAAAAGCCTATGAATCACACAGCAAAAAAAAGATAAAACTTATCGTATCGGCCATTGATAGGCTTTATCTGACAATATCGGGCGTGAGTAATCTTCCCGGCGCGAGAGTAAGTTTCAGTACTCGTCGATTGCCGATATTGATTATTAGATATTGCTTATTTCTTGCTCTTTACAACTTGAGATCAGCGAGTTTATCGAATCCGGTACGAGTAGATTAGAGCAGGGACATATCTTAGAAAATCGCAGCGCCCGTTTGTGCTCTACGGTATTCTTGTAACACCTGTAATTTATTATGTGTGCGTACAGGTTCAACGTGAACTTGCTGAAACGAAGTAGATAGATGACAAACGTCTCAGAGGTATGGCAAGCTTGACGGTGAACACCTCTAGTAAAAACAGTTCGCGCAGTGGATCTCCTAGTAGGACAACCTCGACGTCTCAATTGCATCAACAATCGTCAGCAAACTTGGAGCATACTCCAAGATTGCGTAATGCCCCAATGTAAGAGTCTGCCAGTACAAGGAATACGTGTACACAATTTACTGTTCATTGCCCGCCTAATGCTCAACATTTTTAACGGAGTCTGTATATTATTTTTGTACATATATTTGTAATTTACTCTTTACCACGTTCATTGCAATATTATGAATTTCTGAGATCCACGAATTGGAGAAACTGTAATAACAGCATTCGTGAAACGTCCGTTTCAGTTCCCAAGGTGAGGGTAGCACAGGCAGTGGAAGTAGCGGCGGCGGCGGTACTGGCAGTAGCCTCAATATGAAAGGCAGCAATAGACAAAGATCACCAGGAAATTTAATTCGCACGCCGGGGGATACCATGGATGAACCAAGTAATACTTCAAACACTGCCGAACCGGACGAGTTTGTGCCAAATGTTCATCCACCGACTGATGACGAAGGAGTACGTACTTCTGACTCATTTAAATACCTCTCTTCTAATGAGGTATAAGATAATAAGCGTTTGCATCAAAGGCAAGCAGGGAAATTATTACCTTTGCGAGCCTAATGAGCGTATGCAATCTACAGCGTGTCTTTGTGTTCTTGCATAAAGAGAGTTACATAATATTGCCATTGTATATCCGCTAACTAACGTAGCGGATTGCAAGGTTGTCAATCAATATGCGGTCGAATTATAGACAAAGAAATGGTACAATTATGCGTATGTTCTAAGCAAGTTACATTGTTTTCGTCAATTTTTAGACTATACGATATGTAAAGATTTTTTTACCGCAGAAAAGCGGTCGTAAAGTCTGCTTACGATATACTTAAACTGCATTAAGATGGATATTCTTGTATGTTTAACGTTATATAGTTGATGTGATTTTTCATGCAACCCTCGTGCAAATGGAAAATAAACATGAATGAATGTTTGCAGGAACAATATCACACAACCCAATCGTTCCTATCGAATGGTTCTTCTGAATTGATAAGCGACGATGTCGACTCCAGTGCTGCACGAGTTCGTCAAGCTATTGAGCATATTCAAAGCAAAATTGCGAAAACGCGAGAGCAGATAAGAATAGAACAAACCACGCGGGATGGTACGTGAACGTTTCCCTAATTTAATTAAGACGAACGCACGAAGGCGAAAGTGTATCTTATTAATATGTTTTATTTACTCGAATGTATTGTTATACAGAAAACGTCAATGAATATTTGAAATTGGCCGCTAATGCGGACAAGCAGCAGTTAACTAGGATTAAAACGGTATTCGAGAAGAAGAATCAAAAATCGGCGCACAGTATTTCGCAACTACAAAAAAAGTTAGATAGCTACACGAAAAAATTAAGAAATTACGAGATGAATGGTGCACCGACGAGTCATAGGCAACCGAGGGAAATGTTGCGCGACATGGGACAAGGACTCAAGTGAGTGTCGCATAAATGATTCTTTTTCTTGTATCAGAAAAAAAGAATATTTTAATTTATTACCGAAACGTAATGAATTCGCATGTATTGTTTAATAAATAATTTGTAATGTGGGCTTGCATTTTAGAAATGTGGGAGGAAACATCAGGGATGGTATCACTGGTTTTTCAGGGTGAGTGTTGATACGAAAATAGACGACCCATGCCCAAAGATGCTGAAACTCTATTCTTATGTGGTTGATTCATCACTTCTTTTTAGAACCGCACTGCCATTAATACCCACTTCAATTTAAGATTAACGCAAAATATGTTCTCTTAATAATTTACAAGACATGTTTAAAAGTACAGTCAAGTAAAACGTATTTATATTTCTAATGATGTTCGTATTGCAGAACTGTAATGTCTAAACCAAGAGAGTTTGCTCATCTTATTAAAAACAAATTCGGAAGCGCTGATAATATAAATACTTTGTCACGTAAGTAACTGTCATTAAATTTCTAGTAAGTTTTACATGATTCAAGCTGTGAAGTATAACATATTACAACACCTGGCTAAAAACAATTTGGTTCGGATTAATAAATATAATTTATTCTATTTAACGTACAGAAAATAATGTATATAAGTCTTACGGTATGATTCATACAATCCACTCTTGTCATTTTTATTTATTTAAATATGAGATATGTTTAGATAAGAAAATAAATATCTTTTAACATTTTTGCTATCATGGCAGTTGAGAGTAGTAAGTAATGTGTTGTCCAAGGAGCGAGAGTTTCATTACACTTTGTTATACGCTTCATGCACAGTATTTTAATTTTTTTTTTCGATTGCTTCAAGCTTCTCATCTTCTTTGCATAGAAACGATTAAATAATAACGTCGTTGTCTGTAAAGTATAAAATATTACTTTGCTCATATTTCTTGCTTACAATTTTGCTTACTAAATTTCTATTTCTTTTTCGAAAATAATTATTCGATATAAGTTTGCCGTATGTTATGTTGCACATATTTATTTAACATTATATCGTTACGTAGCAGTGTTATATGATTTCCAGTGACTTTTGCGATTTACACATTTGCTTTCCTTTATTTACTGTCAGTTATCCAATACTCTCTTGTGAAATGTATGATAATCTAAAAAAAAATCCATTATTTTGTCATTATCATGATTAAAAAAAGCATTTTACATTGTGAAACGACTGCTTTTCGAAAATAAAAGGGGTGCGAGAAATTAACCATTGTTTAAGGAAACTGAATAACATAATAACTCGAGAAAGAAAAACACTATTCATTTCAAAAGGCCAAGCTTTGGTATTGGATAACGTTCTAACTTGCCACCTCTGTGTCTCTACAGATGGCTCGACTTTTTATGTAAACGATACACCGCATGCAGGTAATGGTGATAACGCTAGCGTTGAAGATGATAAAACTCACCATGGATCGGCTACACTTCCGGGTGGATGCAGTCTGGGATCTACCCAAAGCGCGGCTATGAAGTTTCCGTCTGAGGAAGGATCGGAGTGTTCTAGCGTAACTAGTGAAAGCGGCCCCGGTAGTAGAGGACAGCCGCATACGTGTCACAGTAATAATGCCTTGAGTCTCAAATCTATTTTTGCAGAACTACAGGAACACCGGGAGAATCTTGATCGAATGAGAGAAAAATTAGAGACTGTAAAGGTTTGTATTCAACTTTATTATCCGGTAATCGAAACTGAGATGTATTTCATAAAGAATTATCTAATTTCATAGATGTTTGCCGTTCTTTTTTTTTCAGACGTTACAGCAAGAAGTGACATATCTATCCCATTCCCTCCAAGAAGAACGTTTCAGATGCGAACGTTTGGAAGAGCAAATCAATGACCTAACGGAATTACATCAGAACGAAGTGGAAAACTTGAAGCAGACTATTACGGATATGGAGGAGAAAGTGCAATATCAAAGCGAGGACAGGCTACGAGATATACATGAGATGCTAGAGAGTTGTCAAACTAAAATCTGGAAAATGGAACACCAGCAACAACAGCATCAGCAATACGTGACACTGGAGGGTTTGGATAATAGCAATGCTAGGGCGCTGGTTGTAAAATTGATAAACGTAGTATTGACAGTATTGCAAGTTATTTTACTTCTTGTTGCAACGGGTGCTGGTATTATGATGCCTTTTCTCAGAACCAGGTAAGATCATTGCCGAGATAGCTCTTACACTTTACTCGTTTTATTTCTTTGACATCACCCTCTTGTTCTATTCTCCGTTGTAGCAACAATAAACTATCGATGGAATATTTAGACTCACACTCTCTATCATCTGCATTACTTCTGCATTCATCGCTATTAGGCATCTACAGATAATATTTCCGTAATATAAGTAAAAATTGAAATATGTGATAATCGTGTTATCTCTCTTGCATAGTTTTATTCGTCTTTATACTGCAATCGACAATCAGTCATCCGGATTTATTTTGCACATTCATTATTTTGGTTTGTTTTTTGTATGTCTGTTACAGCTGTACTAAGCCTCATTGTTTCATGTGCAGGGTGCGTATATTAACAACAACCTTCGTTGTACTGGGCATAGTGTTTGTGCTAAAGCAGTGGCCTGAGGTACATGACGTTGGCAGTCACCTCATGCGCCACCTCAAGCAGACCCTCGCCATGAAGTAGCATTGTAAGTGAATAAAATTTTCACTTGATGCTTAATTGCCAGTAACATGTAAAGGCAACACTTAGTACAATACTATGTTTCAAACGAAGTGGACGAAATGTGAAAGTTCCTAAATGATTTGTCTTAGAGAAAGAAAGGAAGAAGGGAGGAAGAGTGAGAAAAAAATATTTTATGTAAACAGTATTTATTTTAGGGTGGAATACTTAAATTTAATCAAACCCTGTGATGAAGCTGGGCTAGATTGGACACGTTGATTGAAATCTTGCATCCATTTATCAGTGTTGTAGCACATTGGAGCAATAATAGTATGTATACGCGTAAATAAGTTTATCTTGTATCTTGGGTTGTTTAAATTTATTATTATAAGATATATATGTATTTTTGATACCATTATTTAAATTGATGACGCTATTTTACTATAGGAAAAAACGTGATTTTCAAATTAATTTATACAAACTTTCATTAATTTACATCTCTTCGTTCGGTTTGATTTAACTTTTTCACAATCGTGACATTGGCGATCAATTGGTGCTGAACAAATTACATTAGAAAAACTTCTTTAGACACGAACAATTGTTGAAATACTACACAGTGACACTGCTTGGCTATATGTGGCACATATTATGAAGGTTTAATTTCAATTAACGTAGTGTATCTCTACGTTTATTTCTTCACGAGTGTAAAAGTAGGGTAAAGGATACCAAGTGAGAGAAAGTATTGCGTGATGCACACCAGGATACTGTCTTCAACCTCCACGATCGGTCCAGTTACAATTTGTCGATGTACAATCGATTTGTTTTAAATCTTCTTGGATGTATCTGTCGATAAGTCAAGAATTTGTAACATCCAAATCGTCCAAATGCTAAACAATAATGTAAATTAAGACAGGGCCCTTATATCACTATAGATAGCTGCTGTCCGGCATTGTATAAAATATGAAGTAGTACGTATTGTATATTCACTTGTTATTTGTAATATTCGATAAAGGTGTAAGTTCTCTAGGAAATGCAAGCTTTTTTTAATTGTTGGTAGCGTTGCATAAAATAGCTAGAGTATAAATTAAATCACGCATGCAATGAAAGAGAAATGAAGGATTTCACTAAAGGCTGCAGGAAATGTTACTTTCTCGTTGGAAAATTGTTGGAAAATCATGAAATTTGGGCATAAATAAAAATTTACACACACACATACATACATACATACATGTATATGCAATGCATGTGCTGCTACATCTGATATCAGGAGGACCAACCGTCTCTTTCCTCTTATTCTACGGTACGATTTACATCGCACATATAACGTAAAAATTATGCTTACATTTGAGAATAAAGACAGGAGTGATTTTCATTAGTCCAATGAGCGATCTAATCATCAAACCCATAAAGTTGCGTGTGTATTATAACGAGCATAAAGAATCGATCCATGACAGTTAGTTGAAATGAGAGAAAGACTGAAGGGCTACATTGCTGTATAACAATTATTGTTAGTTTACCATTGGCGTTGTAATTTTAAGTTTTTAGTATTGAAGATTAACATTAATATGACGTAAAAAAATAATACAAATTTACGAAAACTCAAAGTATTTGATACATGGCAAAAATAAGGCGAGTTAATAATAACGTTCAGAAATAAGACTAGCATCTGATTTGTGTTTCTTCTTTGTATCGTTACTATTTAATGACAGAGCATACGTATGACTTGTACATTCACTGTCTTGCAATACAATTTTTTAGCTTTCACAGTCAGAATGGCCCGTGTCTATGCACTTTTACTACTCAAAGTGATCGCAGCATGATATATATTAAATTGAAATGACGAACGTCTGTACAAGAGGAGATTTAACCTTGTTTAAATTGCTATATCACGCTGCTCTTTAGCACAGAAATTTTCATGTTTACTTCACGCTGTTTACAAGTAAATAATAGAAACGATATATAAACTTAACAATTAACAGTTCAGTATCTGTGTCAATTTAGCGACATGTAGTGGATGTATTATAACAGCGCAAAGTTTTATTCAGAATTTTATTCAAAAGTTGCCTGTAGCTGTGTACAAAAGGAAATAATTTTATGTGTCTCGTTGTGTCGAATACCTTGTGTTGACAATGTATGTTGTAAAATTTGATATTGATTTAGAAGCTTGCAATGTGAAGGATACGAGTGTTCGGTAATTGAGTAGCAATTTACCGCGTGGAAATTGAAGGCGTGAAAAGGTAATTTTATGCTGTTGCGAAGAGATATTCAATTCATTCCTGATCTCAAAGCAAATGAAAATTGAACTGTATATTCGTCATAGCAGAAATATTCGTTTTTCTCTCGATGTCGACTCATCCAATAGATTTCTCACATCCACATTATCTGCATGGTATTACTTCGAGCAGTTTAACAATCGACGTCCCCCACAAAAATATTTGAATATTTTCTATATTATTTTTCATGTTCCTGTGGTAAATATTACATTTCGGATAAATCGCTGTGATTATGCTAGGTTTATATATAAGCTTAATATTTAAGAAGCAGCTTTGGGATCAATACACAACTGGGAAATGCCACCAAAAAAATCGTATGTGTTGTATATATAGAGATTTTTCTCAAAAATCATGCACCATTCATTACACGTGTAACGTTCGAGACAAATGAAAACGTATTGATTTAATCGAATATCTCGTTAATATCATTTTTTTGTTATATAAAATACATGTAACTAATGTAATTGTAAGATATAAGTCTATTTAGTATTACATAATCATAAGTAGGCAAAATATATAGGGTGTTAAGCAGACATTAATGTACATAGCATTATATTATATTTATAGAAGCTTGTCGTCGTGGCAAGATTTTAACTGTATTTTATTGATTTTGACTTAATAGTTTTTCTAAAAAGATAATATTGAACAATGAGAATTTAATTTCCTTCCATTATATCGTTAGATAACATATAAAACACCCTGTGTATTTATCATTTTAGATCATGGTGCTTTGTAATATACGTATTTAACACTACTAGGGAATTAGAGAATTTTAATCACACGATCGACCACCGATTTACTGAGGGCCCCTGCACGCTTATAAAATATTGAGCGTTACGTACAAAAAGGAAACTGGATGTTAAAGTAGTAAATAGCGCTCGAAATTTTAAGGGAGTTATTAAACAACGACGTAATGTATTTTGTACCTTATTGAAACGTCGCATAAATTTCGTTTTTCTACTTAAAAAGCCGTTTACAATTTTATATGTATTTTATATTTACGAGGCCACGAAATGTGTCACATAAATGTGTATCGTCTAATTTGCGATGATCAATTAATGGATCCTGTTATATAGTTTGTTGTCATTCGTAACTTAGGGGCCCCGTGTGTAGATATTAGCGATAGGCGACAGAATTATTAAAATAAATTATGTCATCGATGCCTTGCGTAGGTAGTTAATGTCAAATTATAGAATAAATATTCGTTGTCAATTGTAGAACGGTATAGGCAAAGCCAGCAGCAGTTATTGTAAAGGTTGTTATCATGTACACTCATTGTGTATATATATATATATATATATAACAGCTGCGTTCAACTGGCATTCTCAAGATAATAAAAGGAATATTTAAAAAAGAAGAAACTGAACATACATAAATTTTTATATATTCATCTTTCGATACGCCGATACTTTCTACATGCCCATGTTATTGCTGCTGGTAGAGTCGACGTACCGAGGTACGTACTGAGCAGCCTTCTGCAATATTATTTCGTACTGTCAAAATAAAGCGAATTTTCAACAAAATCAATTATATTCAATTCCACTCGACCTCACGTGTGCTATTAATAAATCTCTTCGAAGGTGATTGTGCCCCGATAGAAATTCAATACAATTCAGAATAATGTTTCAGGGACATACGGTCGACTAAAAAACACATATCGGTGTAAAGCTCTTTATATTTTCTTCCAGGACTTTTTGTTAATAATAATATTACATTCATCACAATCTTACAAATATAATATATTCAGTTATTTTATCATATATCACAATTTCTACTTTGTGCAGAAAGCTGATTTATATTATTTATATTTACTGAGAGGTTTCCTGGTAGCTGTATAAAAATATACAATTGTTCATGATGATTATATCTACTCTGTTGAATTATCTTGACGAATTATCGTGACGATTTGGAAAGTGCTTATCATTAAAAAAGCATTATCATCCATAGCGTTTCGTCAAGCGTATCAGCCTTCGATTCATTAAATACTATTTTGTTATTAAATAATAATAAATATAGATATAGTAGTAAATGTTAATATTCAGTCTACTATATCTATAAGAAAATATCTTACTTTTCTTACAACAACGTTAACGTTTCTTCTTTCGATATATATATAAAGGTTTAGGAATATATAAAAGATGTAATAATCTAAGAGAATTCGAATGCACAAAAAAGTGTATACTTGTGGACGCAGTAAGAAAAATCGTACATTTTATACATTAATACAATTTTAAATAGTCGTTAATATTCATCTCATTTTGTTGAAACTTATTGTTCGAATCATAAAATCAGGTGTGTAAGAATATTTTATATTATCAACTACCTGAAGTCCATAATGTTCATGATAATAAATGCTGCTGAATTTCTATCCTATAAAACGTAATTTTTATGTGTAGCTTTAAAACAATTTATTTTATATATTAAAATCTCCATTTGTATGTTGTAAATTGCAGCAAATTTATATATTAAAACGAGTTATTATCTTTTCGTTATTACCTTTGAAAATCTCTATATCTACCTTTCGAAAAAAATAATATATATTTTTGAGTATAAGCTAATGTATCGCTATATTTACTGTGATAAATTTACTATAATCCTTTCGAAATTAAAACAACGCAAGTTCATTTGCTCTTGATGATCTACCTACAATCTTGCAATTATTTTATCCGTCAACAAATAACTGCTAGATTTTTCATGTTTCAGAAAGCAATATAGACATTGATATAAAAGATTTGTATTTACATGATTTGGAAATACAGTATGACGCCACGAAATAAAGTTAAAAGATGGCTTTCATATAGAATGTATAAAATCATGCCTCGATCTTAATAATTCAATGTAACTTTCAATCTTCATATACCACAAGACCTACGATGCTTGTAAAAATATCTTTATATAAAGTTTTTGAAAATGTACACTGATAGAATACGTTATGGTGAAAGCAGTTTGTTATCTAACAAATGCGAATAAAGTTTTTTTTAGCACCCATACTGCGCGCTAGACGCTTAAACGCGGCTCGCAGGATTCGTATGTCATTTTCAGCCATGACTTCAATCGGTGATTTGGATCCCATCGTTCGTATCTCGCACTATGATATCGGACGAGAGAATGAGCTTGACCTCCGCGTCCTCGTTATGCGTCACAGACGCGTCCTTTTGCATAGCCGTCGTGACGTGATGCTTCTTCCTGTGAGACATCATGGTCGACCTGGACACGAAAGCCTTGCCGCACTCGCCGCACTCGTACGGCCGCTCGCCGGTGTGCAGGCGCTTGTGGATCGCCATCGGGCTGAACTGTGTGAACGTTTTGCCACAGACGTCGCATCTGTACGGACGCTCGCCCGTGTGCGAGCGCCGGTGGCAGCGTAGAGCCGCGCGTCGCGCGAACACCTTGCCGCACATCTCGCACTTGAAGCTCTTCTCGCCAGTGTGCATGGTCGAGTGGATTCTGAGGTCAACACGCGTGAGGAACCCCTTGCCACACACCTCGCACAGATACGGCTTCTCGCCCGTGTGAATGCGCAAGTGCGTGTTCAGGTAGCTCTTGCTGACGAACATCTTGTTGCACACCGCGCACGGATACTGGCGATTGTCGGTGCCTGAGTGTATCTTCTGGTGGCTTTTGCAGAGACCCTTGGTGATAAAACCGCGGCCGCAGACCTCGCACATGTACGGCTTCACGCCCAGGTGGCGGTTCTCGTGGTCCAGCAGCGACTGCTTCGTCTTAAACTTCTGGCTGCACTTGGTGCACGAGTACGGCTTCAGGTCCGAGTGGACTCTTTGGTGTACAATGAGATAGCTCTTGCACTGGAATCCCTTGCCGCACGTGGAGCAGTTGTAGTCGAACTGGCCCGTGTGCGTGGCCGTGTGCTGCGCGAGGCCGATCTTGCTGCGAAACGCCTTGTCGCACGTCGTACACTGAAACGGCTTCTCGCCCGTGTGCTTGCGCATGTGCTCCTGCAGCTTGTAATTCGACTTGTACTGCTTGCCGCATTCCGTGCACACCTTCGCGGTCCACTTCCGTCTCACCGTCGACTGTTTCTTCTGCCCTTCTTGAGTGTCGTTGCCCTCTCGCGGCGACACTGCGTTTAACTGCGCGTCCTTCTTCTCCTTGTCGACCACTTTTGCTTTATATACATTGCATTGCTCTTTGTGTAGATTTAACACCTCGACGTTGGTAAAATATAAGTCGCAGGGACAGCAGCAGAAATGCTGCTCGAAGTGTGCGACCAAGTTGGCTGTTTCCAGGGCAGCTTCGTTGCAGAAGGGGCACACGTACCAGTGCGAGCCGGTCTCATCTGCAGTGGGGTTGTTGAGCATGGACTCCAGCAGCGCGTGCTTCGTTCTCTTCGTGTATTTAACCATTATTTCGCAGGACATGCCGTTTATCTCACTCGTCGATGGTAAAGCATTCACAGAGTCCACGTGTTCGCGAGTCCCGTTTTCGTTCAGGCAAGACTCGTCTATCTCGTTCTCCGTTTCAGCTTGAGAGGACACAAAATTGTCTACTGGTACCTGAAACACAAAATAAGATCGCATCACACGTTACGAATTTTATTTTTACAGTTTCTCGCGACTTTTACATGGCAATTAAGTTTTTCTTTATAAACTGCTTGTTACTTGCAACAACATACATCATTTTTTAGTACGTGCTGCGACTCTTCCGTAGTTAATCTGTCTTGCAATCTGTGATAGTCCGATTTTGTAGGATCTCCCTCATATTTTACACTTTCACAGAAATGCACTATCTGCTCGTGGTTCTGATCTTCAGGATTGATAGAGGTAACATAATTTATCCCTAATTGACTCAAGTGGTGGCCATCCAAGTTACTCACTACAGTCATGTCGCTATCCAAGTGCATCGTGATCTGATGGTTCGAAACCTATAAAACAGTCCACGCAGATCGTTAATTAAAATTCGAAAGAAAGAACATTTTCAATTATTTGTAAATTGGATTAACTGCACAAGTAAACTGTCTCGCTTGTGCTAGATTCGTATCACGCGTTACAAAAGAATTAAATCATAAGCGATCTGTTCTATTTACGAAACAAAGTAGAAACAAATAACAAAATTAAGGCCCGGCACAAAGGTGCATTAAATACGCGTTTAAAACAGTTACGGCGCTGTCGCAAAGTAGACACTGATCGGGCCAATCACCTCGCGCATGTGTTCGTCGACCATTCTCACGGTGTCGCCGTCCAGACAGTCGATGCCTTGTATATCGGCGTCCTGCTGGACCATTTCCTCCTGGGTGACCACTTGCTCGCCACCGGCCAGGTCCATCTCGTCCATCACCTGCATCGTGTGTATGGTGGACTCGGCCGCCTCGTGCGCCACCGCCGGGTGGCTTTGTACATTTTCGTTATTCATCTGTATGCTATTCAGGTTCCTCTGGATTGTGCCCATGTTATTCACACTCGCCAAATCGTGCTCCGACATGCGCACGACCTCCTCCTTGCAGATGTCCTTCAGCATCTGCATGAACATGCCCTCGGTGTGCAGGCACTTCTCGCGAAAGTCAAACAGCTGATCCAGCTTGAACGCGCACTCCTCGCAGACCACTTTTGGCAGTTGGTCCGTCAACGACACCTGCAATTCACGAGACTGTGATACAAGTGTATTAAGTAGGTAAGCGTCGCTCGCTCATCTGCAGCGCAGATATCCTAGCTCTCTCGCATTTGTCTGGGACCAAGCACGGTAAATACATAATAAAAAAAAAATACAAGCTAGCAAAATGTTGTACATACACGTCTTTAAATTCATCGAGTCTAATCAATTCCTCCGCTGGCCGTGTGATAAATTTGAAATCTGCGAGATCAACGGAAATTGTCTAACGCCGCGACATTAGTGGAGTCCGAGCGAAAGCAAAAGAAAAAAAAAAAGAAGAAGAAGCGTACGCCTCCGATCTAGAAAAGGAACGGTCGCCAAGCGGAACGTCGCGGATTCCGTGTCGACCGTCCCCGCGGGGAGGGCATTTAAAAACCCAGGGTGAAGGATCAATCTCCGTCGCCGCCGCCGTCGCTGTCAGCGAGCGACGCTCCGCGTTCTCGCGCGGCCGCCCTTACTTGGACCGGCAGGCAGGCCGCTATCTTCTTGTCGATGTTGCGCATCTGCTCGCCGGCCTCGAATATCGGCAGGCCCATCAGGATGCTGGTCTTGGTCGCGCACAGGCGGCACAGGTAATCGAACTCCTCGACGACGGCCATGTCGACACAGTAGACCGGAGAGGCGCCTCCTCGCGCGCGCTCCTTCCACCTTCCACCGACGACGGGCGACGCGGACACACGGCGCGGCGGGCAGGGATGGTGGGCGGGGGCAAGCGGACGGAGCGGGAGTCCTCCCCGTTCCCAAAGACTCCAGTAGCGGGATTCTGCGAAGGCCACGGATGCATGCGCTGCACTAGATGGCCAACTTGGTGACAAGAGCCCTGCGATTCGCAGGATATCCGGTTTCGGCCAGCTTTAGGCGCTGGCAAATCTTTTTAGTAGCTTCTGTGCACAAAATAATGCCAGGATAAGCTGCGAATCGCATAGCAGAACATTTTCAGACTTAAAGCACTCAGGTCAGAAGTCTAATGAAAATTAATATATTGGTATCTGAAACTTTCGACTTTTTAATCGCGAGCAATTTGGAATTGGCTTTACAAAACTACAAAATTCTCCCACACGATTACAGTACGCATAAAAATAAAGCGGGGAGGTGCGCGACTTTATATAAAGAACGAAGAGAAATTAAAAATTCGACTCCCGCCTTCAAGACCGCTAAACTTACCATTTGAAACTGCCGCTCTACACTTTCACGTAGAGAGCCGTGGGCGCCTGCGCGCTTCACCCCTCTCTCATTTGATTCGACGAACGGACTGTTGGCTCTCGACATGGCTGCGTCAGCTCCGGTCTGGGGAGCCGGGAGCCAATAATAAAGAAGAAGAAGAAGACAACGCGTTCTCAGCACAACGCGCAACTCTATTCCTGCTGTGTCTATGCCCGCGAGCATGTGCGTGAGCGCCGAGCGCGGCACTCGACGGTGCTAGAGACTCGAAAGGTTTGTTGTCTCCGGACCGAACGACGTTGAATCGCCAAAGGAATTCGAAGGAAACATCCCCTTGCGCGTTGCCCCTCGCACGACGCGACAAGCAGACAAACGCGCGACACGCTTGCTCGCTCGTCGCCGGCGCACCGGCGCACCGGCGGTTGGAGGTTAGGTGTTCACTCCTGGCGCGTTCGCAGGCGACGGACAATTTGCAGCCGACGGACGCGATGGAGAGCCAGAACGCTCCGCCGCCTATCAAGAGCAACAATCCCGCTCCCACGGTGGAGCAGATCAACGCCGACAGGATCACCCAGGTATGTTCATTTGCGAGCGTTGGCTGAGGTTTGCGATTCGTTTAAGTTGTAAAGCCCGAATCTTGTCGTCGGGCAAAGCTCTCGTTAACTCTCGCCGTTGTTCCACGTGTTTACATCGCGATTCTGTTGCGTTGCAGCTCGCGAATAAATATTGGGCGCCGCACACGACGAACACGCATCTGGCGTTCGACTCCCAGGTGGTGGACGACATTTACGTGCAGGAAATATGCGCGTCCAAGTTCTCCGTGCGCAGGATCATGATGCTGGAGTTCAGCCAGTACCTGGAGAACTTCCTGTGGCCGAATTACAACGCGGCGAGCGCCACGCGGCCGCACACCATGTCCATCGTCGTCATGGTGAACGAGAAGTTCAGGGAGCGGGTGCAGGTCTGGGAGGCGTTTGAGAGAAATCCGACGCAGTTCGCCGGATTCTTCCAGAAGGTCCTCGAGGCGTGCCTGGAGGAGAGCATAATGGACTTCAATCTGAAGGAGCAGACGGCGCTGATAGTGTTCTTGAATCATTGCTTCAACTCCATGGAGGTGTCTCTGGTGCGCGAGGAGGCCAAGCGGCTGGTGTCGCTGTCCATGTGGATCTCCCTGCAGCAGGGCAGGCGGGAGCTCGAGTTCAGGAAGTATCCCAAGTGGAGGAAGTACTGGAAGATTATAAGGAAGAAGGACAATCCCGAGCGGAAGGAGAAGCTTGAGTGGGAGCGCAAGTTCCTGCACAGGCTTATGATAAAATTCATGACGATACTGGAGACGATTCCCCCAGATGGTATTTTTATGCGTATTCTTATCCATATACTTATACTATCCGATTGCTTTCACCTGTGCGCCTTTCGAAAGAAGTTTCCTGACTCCAGTAAAGCCGTACATTTTGTGCGAAATAAAGTACTCGAAGCAATTTATCGCCAGTTGCCAATAACTTCCATTGTATTTTCAACAGGAGTCGTACTCTCGGACAAGGTGCGTTACTGCGAGAGATTTCTGGAGCTGGTCATCGACCTCGAGGCTTTACTTCCTACCAGGCGTTTCTTCAACACAGTCATGGACGACAATCATGTGGTGGTGCGTTGCCAGCTATCTAATCTGCTGCGCCGTCCGGAGGGAAGCTTGTTCGGACAGGTGAGTCCTAGCAAGATACTTTTACGGATAGGCCGAGAAATGATTTCATTCGCTGCGTCAACTCGAATATTCGTTTATTCGAATCCTCAGTCGTACAAAAAGTCGATTTACCATACGGACATAAATACTGAACACAAATGCCATTAAATGTAAGATCGTTTCAGACTCGGCGACACATATCTTAATCGTACTGTGCAACACGCCCGCTAGCAGACTCTGATCAGCGATGTATGCACAGTACAATCGATTTTTATACTTAGATTAAAAACCTAAGTCGGTACGCGCTCGCGGCGACATGGATGTGCTATGAACATGAATAGATGCAACGTGCTAGACGTGTCAGAATTGTGAGGTGATAAAAATGTCTCGCTAAACGTATGCTTTTTGTTTTCCTCTCCTTTTACACAAGGCAAGAGATTGATTTCGCTTTAAGGCACACACAATCACCGAACGTGGAATACGAAAGACGTACGCAATTTTATCAGTGCCCATCGTTTGGAGCGCGTCAGCTCGAGCGCTCCGATCGAAAATCTATCACATGTATCTCGTACGTGATACCTTGTAAATTTCTTTTTTAACTTGTAAGATCCTTCGACGCGTCGTCGAGACTTTCTCGACTTCGCTCGCGTTCGCACACTGGCTCGACTATTGCATTTATTTACAACGTATTGCCGCGTTTTTTTTCTATCCCGATATATTGTCTCCAACGTGTCTCGCTTTCTTCGCTCGCAACGTTTCGCGTTTATCTCTCAGAAAATAACGCTGTTACGCGCGTAATACTGTTTCCTTCTGGAATAGAGACGCATTCACGCATTCTTCACACTCTATAAAGAATATCTTTTGGTTTCGGTATATATATATATATGCGCGCATATCTGTGATATACAATTTGGTAAAATTCGCGCGCGAAGGATTTACGGGCTATGACTCTGAGATTGCAATCGTGCGACTTGTGTCCGTCTTCGTCAACGTCGCTTAACTTTAAGCGTAGCTTAATTCGTCCCTCGTCTCTTTCCAAATGTCTTAGAAAGAGGCGAACGATGAGTTAAACTAATTGTGAGATCAAAGTTGAGCGACGTTGGTGAAACCGGGCCGAAAGGCCTGTGTCCACGATGCTAGAGCTTGGATCAAGTGGACACCAGGCCCTTTGCAGAGTGTATTCGCATTTCGAACGTACTCGTACTTCCACGGCTGTACGGAATGCTTTCCACGCTTCGCACGCGCTGCGTGCATTCTTCGTCTCTCTGCGAGAGACGTGTTATCGTTGATCGCGATTCAGACGCGCGGTCGTCATCGCTCAATTACGACTCGAATACAAATCACGCACGTAAGACAGATTGGCCGGTTCATAAAGGCAGTAAGCGCACTTTAATAACCCGCGTTGATGGCCGTCATCTCCTCGCCCCAGTCGAAGCCCTCGGTGTTGTCGCCGGAGTCGCAGCAGTTGCACGTCTTCCCGAGGAGGAAGGTGACCCTGCGCTGGCCGAACACGCACACGTAAAGTACCAACAGAGCCTGCAGCGGGTTGACGACGATATGGCAGTATATCAGGGCGTCGTACTTGAACTGCGAGAGCAGCAGCGAGAGCCAACCGGCGCCCATGATCGCATAGAGAAAGACGAACATCCGGAAGCTGTACTTCATCTTGTGGTGGATACGGCCGTACGTGCTCATCCGCTTGATCCTGTTGGCGGTGGTCAGTATCAGGCACAGGTCGATGATGACGGTGAACGCGATGCACATAAATATAACGGAGAGCCCGAGCCAGCCGACGGTCTCCTGGACGGGATAGGCCGTGCCGCCGACGGTGGGTCGGTTCGTCTCCAGGGCGAAGTGCGCGAAGATCGCCGTGCCGGCGATGCAGATCGTCAGGCACCAGACCCAGGACGAGTAGTAGCAGTATTTCCTGCCGTCGGTCACCCGCAGGAAAACGTTGCGCGACCTGAACATGTTCCACACGTAGTAGCCCAGGGCGCCGAGCCAGAAGAAGGCGGCCATCAGGAAAACATACATCACCATGTCTGAAAGAGGGAAGAGAGCCGAGTTCAGCGTGATTGTATTTCCTGGACGAGCGCACGTCCTGGAAATTCGTCCCCGGCAATTTACTTTCAGGCAATTACTTTCGAGCGGTCGCGCTTGTTAATTGGTCCTTCCGGCATGCGCTCGCGCTGAAATATGACTCATCCAAGCCGCCTCGTGTCGCCGCGCGTGTCTCGCGGATGGTGCGCTGACGCGCTTGAAACGAAAACGGATACGGGCGCGAATTTCGCTGTCTCGGCACGAGGGAAGATGGCCCGCCCGGTAATTCAATAAGGAGATTTTATATCGAGTGTCTCGACATCGCTGAGCACGCGATGCAGCAACGGCAAGTCAATTGCTGCGTCGCCGCGCTCTTAAACGCGACTTATCCCTGTGGCAAATTTCAATTATCGAGATATTTCTTTCCGCAGACAGAACGCATTCCGATCCCGTCGGGGAATTTAATCGAGCGTCCGTAAAACTACGGAAAATGAAATACGACGCGCCGGTTTCAGTCGCAGGAGAACATTACCGAGAATCATTTGCATCCCGCCGCTCCAAAAGGACATCTCGAGAAGACGCGCGGAGCCGCGTGTGACTCAACCGCATTTAAGAAACCGACTCGTCGCCGTCGCACGTCATCGCCAAGCGTATTCACGTACCGGCGACCATGAAGCTGACGTGATTGCCGAACTCCGTGAATATTCTGACGGTGGAGGCGCACTGGTTGACCACGAGGCAGAGGGACATACTAGTGATGATGTTGCCGACGAGGTCGCGCAGCTGCGGCAGCACGAAGTAGACCACCGCGACGATCAAATAGCAGACCATCGACACGGCGTGGAAGGCGGGATCGATCGCGTGCCTCATCAGGTAGTTGGTGTCGGTCCAGCGCACGGCGACGTCCGGCACGCAAAGCATTGCGTACGTCGCCACCAGCCGATCCCCGCTGAGCACCACCTTGTCGGCGCAGTAATGTCCGAACGGGTAGTCGTAGTGTATGGTCGCGCGTTCCTCGCCGCCGTCGTCGTCGTCGTCGTCGTCGAGATTCAGCATCGCGACGCCGTAGACGCCGCGGTTCTCGTCCATGCCCTTGGTCAGGTCGACGATGTAGTGGCGCAACATGCCGCTCGGCAGGATCACCAGCTGATCCGGCCCGGATGGATAGTAGTACACGTGCCACTGGTGCTCGTCGGAGTCGCACTTGGGCCGTCCGATCTTCAACTCGTACCTGGGCTCGACGAGTCCCGGCCTCCCCCGCGCCGCCGCGCCTCGCTCCGCCACGAACTCTGGCCGCCACTTGGTCTCGTTGGTCTCCGCCAGCGGCGTGCACCGGTCGTCCACCAGCAGCTCCTCGGTCTCGCAACACTTGCCGATGCTCACCGTCGCCGTCGCCGTGCCGGCGCCGACGGGCCGCGTCTCGGCGTCGGCGAGCGCGCTCCTCGCCTCCCAACCGACGACGAGCAACAGCAGCACGATCCTGGGATACATGACGCCGAGACGCGCGCGACTCCTCGCCTCACGCTCGCACTCGCCGCCGCGCTCTCTCGCCTCTTCGCCGTCGGGTGGAAAGCCGAGTTGCCGCCGCAGCGTCCGTGCGGCCGATCGATCGTCCCGCGAAGCGTTCATCCGTGATTCACTCAGCTCATCGCGACGCGTGTCGTGATGCTCTCCACGCCATACCTGGCCTGACCGCCGGTACCTCCCGTCCCGCGGCTGGCCACCTACCTATCTACCCCCCTGCCAGCGTCCGCCGCCATGACATTCCCATTCTTCGTCGCGTTCGTGGCCACCCCTGGCCCCTCCGCGTCCCTCGACGACCACAGACGAGTTTACCTTCGCTCCAGCTGCTCCAAAGCCACAGCGGCGCGCATCAGCACTGCGCCCGCACGCGCCTTTGTGCGCTCCGTCTTCATTTTCTACGATACACTCGGAGCTCTCGAGTGCCTTCATTTTGCATAACATTCGCAATGTTGTGTCATAACGTATTTTTCTCCTTTTCCGACTGCAATCTGTACGTTTCTCCTTGTCACCTTGCTTATCCTTCATCAGTTTTGAGCTCTAGAGAGGGATTAATGTCTTGATGTATCGCTACCATAAGAGATCTTACAAGTCTAAAAATTTAGAATATATATACACGTATAGTCTGGTTTGCTCCGCTTTACCGCAACATTTATTGTTAGATACATCTACTGAATACGATCTAGAAGTATGAGATAGGATACCCTTTCAGACATGTAGAGCTCCTTATTATTTTTTTAATATGATAGCACAGAGCTTTTAATATTTAAATATAATATGATCGGACATATATTTATATCATGCGTCTAAGAGTTAAACGCACATTGTCTATCATCGATAGGGCAGTATTGATCATTTGAATCTCCGGTGAAATGTCAAAGGATCGACAATGATATCAATGAATGATATGGAAACTGAATTAATTGAATTGATCAAGAGAACCTTATTTCTTTTTAGATTTATTATACTAATGTAAGAGCCGTACAAGAAGAAAAACGAGTCTCTTTAATCAGGCAGACACTTCTCTTATCAGTTGATAACTTGGAAAAATTACTCAAAACTGACCTTTTTTGGGCAGTGACTCTATCATACGAGATTATCCTTATCGAATTCGTCATTGTTTTTCAACCTTCAACATTGTACTTAAAATCTCAAAAAAAAGGACAGTTCCTTTTTAATCTTATCAGAAGTATCTCTAGGTGAATTAGACAAAAATGTTGCAGATTACGAAAGCAACGCGGTATTTCTCCCGAATATTATAGTGAACGTCAACGTATGTAAATTGGCGCTGTTCGCGTGAATTCGCAAGTGCGCAGTGGCGTTCTTTTCCTGTTTTCTCGCGGTCTCGTCTCGTTCCATCTTTGTATTATTCATTCGCCGCTTCTTCTCTAAACGTGTCAACATTAAGCCGCAACGGCGGTATGTAAAATACGACACGCGTTTATGAAATGTACGTTCCTCCGAGGAAACGCTGCATCTCCGTCGGTCTCGTCTTTGTATATTCAGGTCTCGAGTTT